CCCGCCACGCCCCTTCCCTCCGATCGCCCTGCGCCTCCGGGGCTTCCCGGGCCCGCCCGCGGCGTGGTTCGGAGCTCACTGGCGCAGGGTGCGCAGGTTCAGGGAGCTGATCCGAGAGGTCCCGGGACTGAGAAGGATCCCCAGACAGACTCTTCGCAGTTGCAGGCTCTTCGGCAGAGGTGCACCGGGCGCCCGCTTTCGCCTCCCCTTGGCCCTCGAGGCCCCAGTCACCGTAGGCTTCCTGGGCGTTGGAGGTGCCGTTGGAACCCGAAAATTGAGTCGGGGAGGAGGAAGGGGGGGGGCAGAGACAGTCAGAACTGCCAGTTAAAGACCCGGACTTGCTCCTGCCCCCTCGTTGGCTGCTCCAGGTACAACTACGCTGGGTCACGGTCCGAGAAAATGTGTGTTTTGTGGTGGGAGAGGAAGGAAGTAACCCGAGGAAAATGAGAAGCCTGAGACCCGAGGTTTCTCTGCTTTCGGGGAAAAGGGTCTGTTTACTTATTGGGTGAGGACGGTGCAGCGGGGGAGTGACACTGGGGAGAGGTGTGTGAGCGATCCATAGAGTGCATGTGTGCTTGTGGTTGGACGCCGCACAGCCCAGCACTGCTGGTGATCATGGGTGCGCGTCGGGAGCCGGACCCAGGTAGGTAATGGGGAGATTCACCTGGAGTTAAACTCGTCCAGTGCTAGACAATCGCTTTTGCAATTTGATACACACCAGGTCTTTTTCTTGGGGGCGGGGGTGGGGGGGACGACGTCTCCAGGTTTACCGCAGGAGGTGTGTTGTGTGCGCTCACGCACGAGTGCTTGTCAGGCTGATGCTGATGCGGGGAGGAGAAGGATGAACGTCCTGAAACGGACAACCCCGGCCGGGAGAGGGGAGGTGGGAGGTGGACGCAGGGACCTGTGGAGTTAGAAGTGAGAAAGCTTGGCTTGAAAGTAACAGACGCGTGCAATTCGCTCGCACACACTTACATCCCGCTGGGCGCCAAGTGTCAGCGGACCTGGCGCGGGGAGAGGGATGCTGTGGTCTTCCCCAAGTTCCAGAATCTTCCCTTTTCTTTGGGGGGTTGCCGTTCGTGCAACTGGTGGGGTTCACTTTAACCAATGAGACTACCTCCCCCCCCTCCCATAAAGAAATCCCCAGAGCATATCCCGAGCCACCACACTTTTTAAAGGGTTAACTGCAGCGGTGGTCTAGGCTTTTGGCCGAGAATTTAGGAAATAAAATAACTCACTTGGGCATAAGCTCCTGCCTCGTTAGAGCCAATCTGCGGAATCCGCGGTCTGTCACCACCCCCACCCCCGTTTCCTGACCTTTCCCTGCCCCCCCATGTCCCCCTGACCTTTTCTCAGAATCCCACAAGGGCCCTAGGGGCTCAGCGTCCAACCCAGCGCAGAAGATGGGGAGGAGGACGCAGGCCTGCACCTCCCCATCCAGTTGCCCTTGGGGTCCTGGACTCCGCGGTGGGAGGGAGATGGGGGAGGGGGCGTGCAGAGGGGTGCTGAAGGGGTTAACGGGAGCCTTCTGAATCCCAGCTTTATTTTTTCGGAGTCATTTATCAGATTTTACGGGGGGACCTCCGAGGGCTCTCCGTTTCCACCGTGCGCCATCTAAACAGAGCCCAGGGCTAAAAATACAACATTTTTGTATAAATTGGACTCGCGGCCCGAGCGGCCGCCCCTATGAAAGTCCTCTTTGTGAAGACCGTGGAAACGGCGGACAAATAACTCTTTATTAATGCCACAAAAAACGCACTTTAATTATAGTTAGGCAGATCAGAGGCGGGGGGGCGGGAGGGGGGTGGCGGGAGGGAGGCGGCGGCGACCTCGGAAAATTCACAGCCCGACTTTTGTGTCGAAAGAAAAGAAAAACAGAGGAAAAGAAGGAGAGGAGAGACGGAGAGTCAGACGGAGTGAGCGAGACGGTATAGCAGACGGAGGGAGGGAACCCCGCTCTTCACCCCCGCTTGGTCGCACCTCCACCCTCGCCTGATTTCTCTTAAAGGCGTAGGCGCCGTCTAGGTCGGCGGCCGGGTGGGGGCTGTTCTCCCCGCCCCGCCGCCCGGG